GAGTCAGAAATTCGCGATCAGGTGATGCACGGTGCCCCCGTGCATGCTCTCAAGTGGAAACGACCATGGGTTAGCGTGAACAACGCCAAGGTTTCAACAAACCTTCCTCCGGTCTGCTCTGCTTCACCACCGAGAGCACAGACTTCTTTCAGTCCCCGACCGCGCGACCAGTTTAGGCGCAGCGGGGGAGGGTGCGTGGATCAGGCGTCCATTTCGCAGGAGTTCGGCTCAAACATTGCCTTCTTCGAGCAAATGGCTAGGGAGAATATGAACGAGCCGCATTGTTCTTTCGGTTCAGACTGCTACCACTGCTCATTTCGTGACCGGCTGGGAGCTCTTCGGTCGGCTTCCCCATCCCCGAGCAGGACCCGGGTGCGTCCATACTTTGGCAGCCTAAGAAGACAGAATATGAGCAGCTTTCAATGCCGCCGTGAGGTTGGAGACGGTGGCAGGCCTCGTGTTGAGGTAATCAACTCGCCTGGAAAACTGCATTCCCAGGTGGAATGCATCAGCCCCAAGCCCAGGCCAGGGAACAGTTTCTCACAGACTAACCCTGTCAGGTGTTCTGTACGTCGTTTAGGTGACATTTATGACACATCGTAGTGCTGGGCACGCGTAAGGACGGCGGTATTTATGAAACTGATTATTATAACCAGTATGAAAGATAAGCCTTATTGACCTAAGAACGGCCGTGGGCCCCTCTTTTTTTTCTGCCCGAGTTTGCTTATTTACACAGGCTTGAATATGTATATTTTTTTCAATTTTTATTGTGATATCTCGTTTACACTAGGATTTTCAGAATTCAGAGGCGTCTCCTTTGCAGCACACACAAACACACGCATACAGATGAACCAACTGAACTCAATAGCTTTTTTCTCTTGACTTACATAACCATGCAACCAGTCACTGCTGTCCTTATCTCATTGCAAACTCACGGTTTTCCCACTACTCACCAGAACTCACGATTACGAAAACGCGCACATTAACATTCTTCATTAGCATATCAATAGGGAATAAACTTCAAAGTCGTACTTTTTCCTGCTATAATGTTGTAAACTTCTACTCTGGTCTTTTAAAACTGATCGAGAGTTCTTTTGAGGAGGGGAGGCAGTAAGAAGTGCCTTTGGGGATGTTGCTGACAATAATCGGATGCATGGAACTATAACTAGGGCTGCATTTTGTTCGTTTTTAGTTCTTTTAAAATGCAGAAGTTGACGAACAAGCGGCAATTGTCAGTATTCAGCATGATTGCTCACCGCCAAGGTGTCGTCTTTTCTCAATTAAACATCATTTTTACACTTTTAAAATGTCTGCGCACTGACTTTGTCAAAACTATCTTATAGACAAAGTAAGGTTTCAGTATCTTGCTACTGGACTTCCATATCAGGGCCTAAAACTTAATCGCTTTGGCATGACCCGGCGAGACTGACGGGGGAAAAACGGACTGCCTACTCACTCACTGAGTTATAATTTGGAGTCTTTAGTTAGTACCCCAGACTCTTCCTCGAAGAACAACTATCATGGACTAATGGTTAAGGTAAAACAAGCCATTCACAGTTCAGTTCAGTTTTATCAAGGCAAACACCTTTGAGCTTCATACTGATGACACAGTGACTGAAAAATGCATTGATACAGTATAAAAGTCAAAGATGGTCGTTTACATGGTTGCAGGCCAAAAGTGAGCAGCCGTCAGTTATTGGGAAATGGTAAGAATGTTCAGCTACTCACTTATAATGAGTAGTATATGTATGTTAGTATAGTACCTCGCGCCAAATAACAAGAGCCAGTATGTGGGGAAAAAACAAATATAGCAGACAGTGAAAAAGCTCCTCGCACATTTCAGCACTAAATGAAATCCCATAGTTCGACATACTCTCTGGTCAGCTAAAGACTGAACTGGCGAAAGAAACGTGTTGACTTGCATGTAGCCCTTTGCTTTTGCAAGTCGGATAGGCCTACAGATTGCAGTGAAAATCACAGCCCCTACAGAAAAGCTAATCAGATGTGTTTGGTCCTCCAGTCGAAAAATCTACAGCATGAATTTACATACCGACACACATGACCTCGAACCTTCTAAAACGGGCAAGTTGGAGCTAGCATGCTTCAAGGATGTTGAAATCACCCGCAATTAAAGCAGAACTCGGTGGCGGCTTGAAATACGTGCGAGTGACATGAAGTGACAAACTCTGGCTTTGAGTGGACGATAGACTTATCCAACGACCAAAGAGTACACACATCTTTAAAGCATTTTGATTCCATCCCTTAGCTTTTATCACAGAAAGATGTGAAAGTTCGACTGGCCGAAATAAGAGTTGTCGCCTCGCGTATATGCAGATTCCTCACGCAACCGCCTTGGCCGTCATTTCTAGGGGAAGAGTGAGAAACAGATAGTGCAGGATCAGTAACGGATGACGAACACCACGGCGTGAAGCGAGGGCATTGTATTGAGTAAATGCCTGGCATATTGAATTTTTAAAAATGTTGGAGGCCGAATAAGTTGCTTCGGATGTGAGGAAACTGAGTCATCCAGAGGTTCACTGTCCATCTAAAATAGGGATTGGATTTTCCCGTCCAATCCTATAAACACGTTGTAGCATAGAAAACGCCTGAGTTGGATAGGAAGACATGCCTTTTTAAGTAGGACATTATGGATTAGAAAGCTGGATCCTACTGAAAGCTAGCTAAATATGCAACAAAACTCCATGGGTAGCATACTGCAGCATGTGCCAGACGAGCTGACACTGTAGACCAAGCAAGTTTATATGCCCAGAAAGAGAGTTTGGTCAAGAATTCTATCGCAGGGGGGTTAAGTGGGTTAAACCGTGCAACTGCATCTTCAGACCATGGTTACTTAGTGGAGAAGAGAAGTCCATAAAGGCCAGAGTAGATGAAAGAGTTTATTGTGTACC